TGTATTTGTTAAAAATAGTTAGTTCACACATACCACCTCATTTGCATAAAAGTGAATTTATTTTATTTTTTTGCATTGTATAAATTCACTTTTCCACATCCTAAATGTATTTGTTAAATGTAAACAATGTTTGTAAATCCCAGGCCCTGAAGATGATCTCAATAAAGATCGAAACGTTGGCACGATAAAGAAAATGTTTTTCTAAAACCTACATCACACCAGACCGCATCACCCGATTTCTGAATAATTAACACTAAAGTACGATAGTGCTATATGTGATAAATATAAGAGAATAAATAAGTTAAAATATGATAAATTACAAAAAATGATCATAATATCAACAATGTTTAAAGTTATACGCTCTAACCAGCCGAACTATCTATTTATTAAATATAAAAGAAAAATTAAAACGTTAAACTTAAGACAAAACAATATATTCCAAATTCCAATTCATAGAATTAAAACATACTCCAACTCTTTCATAATTATCAGCATAAAGCTGATAATGTTATGAAGCATATGATATTCCAAATGTATTTCCTCTGAGAGCAGTTTTTGTTCTTTCAAAAGAAATATGAAAAACATATGACGGAAAATAATTAAAACCATCATAAAATCATGAAACATAAATTAATAAATTTTATGTTTTATATTGTGTTTTTGCATTCTCTAAATAACTGTAAGAATAACGAAAATCAAAAACAATTGATTAATTAATTTAAAATCCTGTCTATCTATCACAAATTTTTGTTAAAATTGTTATTATTTATCGTTTTTTATTGTTATTCGTTGATTTCTTACATAGATAAATAGATAAATGTTTTATAGCAAAAAATGTGTAAAACTTTGTTTTTTCTTGTATTCTATTTGTGTAATAATTTGTAGAGACTAAAAGAGTCTGCATAAACTGTATGTATAATGTAAAATGTACAACTCACGTTAAGTGGAAGAAAGTTCCTCAAGACCTAACTTTGCGAGGTTACATAAAACGTTTAATCAATCAGTCAATCTCTCTCTCTCTCTCTCTCCCTCTCTCTCTCTCTCTTTCTCCTTCCTCTCTTTATCTTTCTCTCTGCTACTTTCGCACGCAAAGAAAAACCACACAACAAACACACAGTTTTGACAAATTTTAAAAACATGCTTATTTTCTTGCCAAAAGTTTAACTGCGTGGTTGAATGTTTGATAACAGTTTTATCTTTTTTTTATATATAGAAAAATTTAATGTCAGACATACCAAGACGCCAATTATAAAAAACTCTTTTAGTTTCATTATCGAAAGAAATATTTCTTCCTGTGATATCGGTGTACCATTATACGTTATTCCATGGACAAAGTGATTTGCCTAAGTTCTCCAGCAGGGTTATGCGAAAGATTCGAATTGACAAGGGTATGAACCTTTGGCTATCCTTTTTCTAGAGTCGTGAACGTGACTAGAATCAGGCCGGAATATCTCCGACTATGTTCACCTTCCCACAAATCCCGAGGCAAAGATTCTCTGCCGCACTCCTGTCTTTGAATGCCGCTTGGGCAATGTCTACTGCTTTTCTTCCGGTATGCGGCTGATTCGTGGATTCTCTTGGCTTTAAGCGTTACAATTTTTTCCAGACAATTGAGTCTACATATTACATCAATTGGTTATTTAATAAAAACATTAGATCAATAAATGATTGTGAACTTTTCCTTTTTTCTTACTCGTCTACTCCTTCTGTTATTATTCTATATTGCATTCATACCCGGCCCATCTATTAATTTTACAATGAATAATGAATACACTTACGTTTAAATTAGATTCTAGTTTAAGTGATTCTACCTCGTAACTATCTTAAAAAAAACTTTTTAGTCATCTTACAACGCGCTGTCTGTGTAGCAAGATGCTGGCCTCGGCATGCGGTGGCATTGGGCATTGAATGCATTTTTTTTCTTTCGCAGGGTTCGCAACAGCAGAGGTCATATAAACCCTCAGGGTGCCGGTGTTTTTGAAAAAAAAAGCCCATTTATAAGTATGCCGGGGGGTGATCTCAATGTCGACTCAATGTTCAGATCCTTGTGTGTGTTATGGTTAAATATTTTACTACACTCTGGAATGCTACCACTTTACCGTAGAGGACGATTGGTTAGTCTATTCATTCTATGTATGTAAAGATCTACAGATTTCTAATGGATTATTTCAAACTCCTCAGTGTCTTCCAATTCATTGATCCTGTTTTTTGCCATTTAAGGTGACTTATATTGTGAGGGCACGATAGATAAGTTTTCCATCTGTGGTAGATAACTTGTATACAGCAAGGATCGTACAAGGCTTGAGATAATACGCCAGCCTTCATTTCGAATAAATCAGAGTGTTCGTCTGTCAGACTCGAAACTATCTTTCCAAAAGGCTTAAAAAATGTTTACGTATTGGGAATGTTTTAGCTTATGTGTTTTCCTTTGTACCAAAACTTGTCAAATATCGACGATATCTCTAGGAATAAAGCTGGACTTTTTTATCTTCCAGACCTGCCTCTAAACTATCAATGATTATTGGTATTTAATCTATGGTTGAAAGCCTGGTTTATCTCTCTCTCTCTCTCTCTCTCTCTCTCTCTCTCTCTCTCTTTCTTTCATTCACATACACACTCTCTCTCTCTCTCTCTCTCTCTCTCTCTCTCTCTCTCTCTCCCATTCTTTTCTCTTTCTGCGATTCACTACCATTCTCAGGTCGAAAGCCGAACCATTAAACCCTAACTTCTGTACCAACGAACGGATCGGAGTGTAAATATAGAACACAGGTAATATTTGTACACGCGATGTTTTTCGGCTCTCATCCTTAAAAAAGGAGCCAACAGCCCTTGAATACGGAGGAGGCTGATAGATCGTGGGGGGGGAGATAAGATCTCCAGCGCAGAAGGGTAACGTATATTCCCCAAGAGAATTCTATTACAGGAAGCCACTCTTCTCGGCTTCCAGCGTTCTCGCTCTGTTCTAGCCAGCCGAATTGAATTAGAGACCACGGCTCCGTGAACTTGATTGATTCGAGGTAATTCAGTCATGATGTAAAAATAATATCCTATGACTTTTTAGAGAAATTTGAATTACCGTCTTGGAAATTAATGAAGTGAAAAGAAAATTTCAACCATCGTTTGAAAATCAACGTAAAATAATTGCGGTTCTTTTCAAACCACAAAACTTTTTTTCATCTCTCACAAAAAGATATCGCTCATAAATGATAACTCATAACAATTTTTTTCTATTTTCTAAAATGGCAAAAAATCTGCATGAAAATGTTACGTTATTAGTTGATTTCAACGAATATTATCTTTGTTGTTGTGTGTATATTTTATCTATTTTGTGACACTTTTGTTCCAACTAATTAATTAATAATTTTTAGTTTAGCTATTATACTTTAAGTTATTGCAGTCATTGATATACCGTGTAATTTTTTATTTAAAAAAAAATTGGTCTTTTAGTTTTACACAGTACACTTTATTATAAAAGTACTTAGAATTTTAATTAAGCCAACCTTATGATAAATGTTTCTTCCAAAATAAAACCTTTCCATTTTTCCATATTTGATAGCAACTTTTAAGTAGAATGAAAAGGACTTTTAAAATGTGTGAAAAAAATTCATCCTTCAAAATTCACCCGGTAGTTTTGGAGATATTTTTCTTCGGACCTCGATAGTTTAAATTTGTCGTCTAATTGGTTAAAAATTGACAAAAATTTATTTCCAAATGTAGTATTCTACCTTTTTTTTACACAATCTGAAAGTCGTGTCCATTTTTCATATTTGATTCCATATTTTACGATTCTGGCATCTTGTTTTAGAACAGAAAAGACTTTTGTGGAAAAAAATAAAATAAAAACAATTAATCAATTACTTAAAAAATTTAAGTTTTATTTTGGAAATCGATCGTTTCAACTTATTGCATAACTCGTTCAAAAAATGAGAACTATGAATAAAATATGAAAATTTAATTTCTGTTGATTATTCAAAATTTAACTTTAAACAATAGCAATTAATTTGAGAATAATTTTTTTCATTTATTTTGAAGTCTTTTCCATTCTAAGAAATGATACCAGAAACGCAAAAATTCATTGATTCGTTCCGGAGATGTGAAGTTTTCTTTCGTATCTCGATTGCTTAAATTTATCGTGCAATTGGTTAATTAAGAGAAACTTTATCCCTATTCATATTTCACATTCTGAAAGTCCTTTCTATTTTTCCTTATTTGATTCCAATTGATAAGTTTCTGGTGTAATTTTTTTAGAATAGGAAGGTTTTGTAAAATTTGTGAAAAAATATTCATCCTCCGAAATTCATCGATTAGTTCTGAAGTTATTGAAGTTTTCCTGTGGAACTATATAATTTCAATCGTATAGCATGTTAAAAAAAAGAAAAAATTGAAATTGAATTGAAAGATGAATAAAATAAAAAATATAGTTACTATTGGTTAATTGAAACCTAAATTTAAACAGTTACATGGCAAATTGTAATTATAGAATTCTGAAGGAAAATTTGAATATCGCCAGAGCGAATTTATAGGCTTTAGGGAAAATTTATTCATTTCTTTTCAAATCTAAAAAAATATCGTTTTAACGCGCCAAATAATTGAACATTTTTAATCGCTTTATAATTCTCATACTAGTCAAAATATAGCATTGTTGTTGTATATCATATATACGTTTTTGGGTGAAAGGGAACATGAAGAAAAAGCCAGGAGTGACGGGGTCTACTAGCCTAGTGGCTTTTCAAAGTACACAAAATTCATTTTGTTTTTTATTTTCATAGAGTATTATTATTTGAGCTTAATAAAAATGCTAACTAGTATAAACCAGTGTTTCTTTACATTTTAGACAACTAATTTATAAATCAAGAAGTATGATTTAAATATGATGTTGGGCGTTATTATTTAATGACACGAACCTGAATGGAGAAAATTTAATTTGTTTATCCATAAAAAAACATGTATTTAGGAAATTTACATATCTATAAAATATTCAATTGTACTAGTGTAATCGTCCATTTCAAAACAAAAAACAATTCATAACCAAAGTTTTATTAATTTTTTGACGGGACGGCAATCATCTGGTGTGAATTAATTCCGGAGTCTAAATTTGGAGTTCCCAAAGAAGGCAACGGTTTCCTCTTCGCACAGTTCTCTCTTCTGCCTTTCTATCGTTACTCGCAGCACATTGTTTTTGGAATTGCCGGAGACGAGATGTCCAACCGAGATCGCAATGAGAATTTCTTGTCCCGGGCGAAACTGCTCACGAGCGGTACGATGGAAGAATACTTTAAATTCAGCAGCGACATCATCGAGAGGTTCTTGCTTGAAAAGGTAACCTACGAATTAAAACACTCACATAATTCAAAACGAAGTATCTTGTTTCTTTAAATCATTTATGATTTGACGATAAAGCCGGTTATATCAGTCAACACATGTCGCCGCTCCCTCCTGTCTCCCAGCTGTATAAATTGAAAACAAAATTTAAGAGACGTTAAAATTAAGAAAGAAAAAAGAAACAGGAGGTATTTGTTTGAAGACGGCCTTTTTCTCTGTATTTGGAGAAAACTATCATTTTACTGAGATTTCAGGGACTTTCTCAATTGCTGGGATGCCGATCAATAGGAGGGAAGCGGGGCTTTGGCTCCCTGTGAAAATTATAAGTAAACCTACTTGCAGTAACGGTTTTGTCCACAGAGGAAATTTGCCTTATAGACCATTTCATTAAATACCAAATATTTTGAAATAGTCAGATCCAGAGGGAACAGAAAATAAACAAAACTCACTTCTCCTTTTAATACTTTTTAAAACTTAAGCAAAAAAATTTTGACAGTTCAAAATCAGATACGTTTTTAAATTCCTTCGTGGTCTTTTGAAAATTTCATCTCTAGGTCGTAATAAATATCTTTCATGCGGTTACCAATGTCGCCTATGTTGTTAGTTGACCTTTGGTCCCAAAAAATTTCCAATTATCCGTCCATTTTAGTTGATAGCGATTCAGGAGAAACAGAAAAAATGCGTGTTAGTTAAAAAATAACGCAAAGTATATTATTTACCACGCTAACGATTCTGAGTTCGAATCCCGCCACAGCCAATGAAATTTTAACTGAATATTAAAACAAAAGTTGGTAAAGCGTTTTAATTTCTTGTCCGCTTGGGCTCAATTACTTTAGTTTACTTAGAGCTCAATGGGCTTTAGATGCTTAATTCAAGTTTCTTGACTGTTCAACACCTCCCAAACCGCTATTTGAAATTACCTTGTAATCAAATCACTCAGGCTGTTAACCTCTGAGATCATCAGGTCAGAAAGTTAAACATTAATCTTTAAAAAATCAGATTTTCCTCTCTTCTAACGAGAAACCTTGGAAGAAAAAAAAAATTGAACATGAACAACTTTTCAGCCTAGAAAATATTTTAGAGCTGAAAGAAACGCATCTAATGCATACATGTTAATCCATTTACGTTTTCGTGGTCAATTGACTAAATTTGTTCTTTCAATTAATTAATTATTCTTTCAGAGGTCTTGATTGAGATAAAAAAGCCAGTGTCACGAGCGGGATTCGAACCCAAGACCTTCGGTTAAATACGCCGCTACTCGACAACTTGAGGTATTGTGTCTCCTCTCGGACACCAACTCTCCATCTCAACCTACAACCGTTCGAATTTTCCCTCTTTGAAAATGGCAAAAAGGAGGGAAAATTCGAAAGGTAGGTTGAAGTGAAAAGTTGGTGTCCGAGTGGATCGAAGTCAAGTGGTAGAGCAGGGATTTAGTCGAAGGTCGTGGGTTCGAATCCCGCTCGTAACACTGGCTTTTTTATCTCAATCAAGACCTCAGAAAGAATAACTAATGCATCAAGTTTTTCCTAAGTTTCTAACTAAGCTATAAAGTAAATAATAATAATAATAATAGTAATAATAGTCTTTACCCTCATTTTTACACACTGTTTTCATGATTTTTTAATTGTATTAAGTTATTATTTAATGCGACGAAATTTAACTGTTTATTTAGTTATATCAATTACAATAAAATCAATGTAATAAATTATACGTGCTTTTAAATTTATTAAGGATTTTTTTTCATAAATAATCTGGATCTCGGTATGGTCTGGTTGAAAAATAAACACACTGGCTACATGTCATCAGGACAAAACAGTCTTAATATCTTAATATGTTTACACTTTGACTTAATTAAGTTTTTAATAAATTGTTTCAAACTTCTTTCAAGACTCAGTTCCAATATTACCATGGACTGTAACGATGATTAGACATCATGAAAAAAAAATTCCAATGATGATGATCTCGTAATAGGTATCTCCCCTGAATTTTCATTCCTCTCTTATAGGTCATCCATTTTTTTTTCTAATTGAGCTTGGTACATTCGCCCATCTTAAATGGAAGCCTCCAATTAGTTTTTGGCTTTGTCCGGTGACGCTGTTTTACTTTTTATTTCCTCATTCATTTTTCGGTCCCTTTGTCCTTGCGTACCTTTGCAGACTTCTGAGTTTATCACTAAGGGGTAAAATCAAGTAAAATAATTCGTGTTGTACAGAAGATATTAACGTTCAACTATCCCTTGGGTGTCGTAAACGAAAAGTCAGAACCGCATAATTATTTCATATTATTCTCAATTAAAATTTCATGGGTTTTCCTGAAATTTAAACCCACAACCATGACTAAAAATATGAGCAGAACGTCCTAACCACTCGGCACAGTGGTCCCTCCGATATGGTAAAATAAATACATTTTATTTCGTGGTCCGATTGACTAAATAACTTCTTTCAATTAATTAGCCTTTATGGCTAAGTATTGGTTGAAATGAAAAAGTTAGTGTCATGAGCGGGATCAAGTGGGAAATGTCCGAGTGGATCAAAGTTACGATAGCTCAAATGGTAGAGCAGCGGCGTATTTAGCCAAAGGTCGTAGGTTCGAATCCCACTCCGTGACACTAACTTTTTCATTTCAACCAATTCCTTACATAAAGATTAATTAATTAAAAGAAGTTGTTTGGCGGATTTAATAAGTAAAACGAAGAACATCTTCACTATAGCTCTCCATGGCCATTTCATTTGTCGCTGAGAATCGAATCCTGATTACACGAAATTTGAAAAATGGCAAAAAAGGGGGGAAAATTGGAAAGGAGGGTTGAAGTGGGAAGTTGGAATCCGAGTGAATTGAAGTCACGATAGCTCAAGTGGTAGAGCAGCGGCGAATTTAGGCGAAGGTCGTGGGTTCGAATCCCACTCGTGACACTAACTTTTTCATTTCAAAACCTTACATAAGGATTAAGTAAAATAAATTCTTGACCTACTAAGAAACATTTATTACACAAATAAAAATTCTGTCATTTCATTTCTATTTATTCTTCGTTTTTGTAATTGCTTGTTATTTCTTCTTTTTTAGGAAATGAGAGAATTGATTGCCGAATACGACGAAAATCTATCAACAAGCGATATTCTTTACGGCAGAGGGGCAAAGGGGTTTAACCAAGAGACGTTGCAAAAAACGGCGAAAATGTATCTTCTTCAGAACAACAGGGATTCGAGACTGTCGCCCGATGATACGTTAAACGACATCGACAACCACAGGAGAAGGGGCAGGAACAAAGAAAACGACGTCAAGTTCAAATCTAAATGTAAAACACAAAAACACGAATACGCGATTGATGACATAGACAACCAAATCGGCGCCAAATCAAACGCGAACAACTCTTTCACTTTATATCCGGCGAGTACAGATTTCAAGTTTAGGATGGACGATGAGGGTTCCTCATTAGGCAAAGATAAAAAAGGAGATCTGCAGACTGTGAGCGAACAGCCTGACAAAGGAGAAGATGAAACGCAAGAAAAACCAGCAAAGGAAGAATATGAGAAAAGTTTTGAACCAGAAGTGGTACTCGGCGATGAGAGAATTCTTAACATGACTTTTTTCACTGATGAATTAAAATCTCAAAACATTGTGCAACAAACAGCAGAGGAGGGTGTCACGTCCAACAACCGGGACCCGACGTGCGTCACTCCGTCCGATTATCCTGCCAGTTCTATATGTTCGGCTTGTGCAATACTGAAACAATTGGATGAGTACGAACGAAATCATTACATAACAAAAACAAGAGCTCAAGAATTGACAGAGTTGAGAAAGCTCATATTTCAAAGCGTAGACCATAAAATAGGCTGTAGGAAAATGCGAAAGGACATATTTAATAAGAATTTGGAAGAAAAAGACATGTCCGAGCTTTCGGCTGGAATGAGTTCCAGTTCCGAATCGCCCATGGTACCTTTAAAATGGGCAAAGGAGACGTTGAGAAAAGTAGGTTACGAAAGGGCGGTCGAATTCATCGCTCTTACCTACGAAGAAAAACTGCAGAAGTTCAAAAACTGGATTCCGGAATTCATGAAATATACTAAAACCAAGAAGAAGCAGAGAAGTGGTGCGAGACGATGTAAAGCGAGAAACCGTGGGATACTCAGACGGTATCCCCGTTGCAACAATTCACACGACAACTGGAAAATCGAAGGCTTGCGAGACCCGTTTTACTTCGGATCGTATGAAAACACAGGAGACCCGGAAAAAGCTGCGACAGAATCGAAAAACTCCCACTCGGATGATCCTCTTTTTAAATTGACGAGAAATAATACACAAGGCTTTCATTTACTATCAGACATCAAAGTCGATGATGAAACAAGCGATGAGGAAGAAATTTATGAAAACGTTTCCACGGGGATTAGAAATTTTTCAAAATTTCCAGAAAACCTGGACCGACCCTTAAAAAATATTTACAACGACGCGCTTCAAAATTGTCCGACCAGTACAGATCAGCAGATCGAATGGGAATGCCATATGCTGTCATGTTTCCCTCCTTATGATAAAATGAACGGATTTTCTATGCCGACTGCACAGCTTTTGTTTGAAAATTACGTAGAAGACGCGATTTCTGCCGGTATCGATGAGAAAACGATGGCAGGTCCGTCCTTCAAATACTCTTGGACGCCCGTCGAAGCACACGATAATAGCAGTTTCTTAGATGATGAATTGCCGTTTTCGTACCCTCCACCTCCGTCTCCGGAAGAGTCCGAATTGAGCGAATACAATTCAGACCAGACGATGAGAATCGTCAACCTTTTTGGTACTATCGAAGCCGAAGTTAACAACGATGGAAGGTCGCATTGCAACCCAGAACAAATAATGCAACACGATTTTTGCGACTGGCCGATAAACGACGGCTTCGCGTCGCCGGAAGAATGCGAAGACTATTCCATCGTCACCACTCCAGACCCGTCGTCGGATGATGCGAGCGATTCGGATTCGGATGGGTCCGCGGATAGTCTGGACACGGTCATCATCAAAGACAAACATGACAAGGAGAAGCCGGTGAAAGCAGAGACGACTCAACTGTGCGAAACAAACGAAGAAAAAGAACTGGCACACGCCGTCGCGCAAGAAATCATTAACAGTCTGGAAAATGAGATATACGCCGTTATTCAGCAGAGCCAAAAAATGGACCAAGGTAGCTCCCAGAAATGAAAAATTAAGCACAACAGCTATTTCGAAATGACTTCTTGGACTTCTTCTTCTTTGACTTCATCGTACAAAGCGTAAAAATACCGGCGCCGAGATTTGAACTAGTGTCATTTTAACTTTAAAATAAACCATTTTATAACCTTTAACTTCAATATAATTTTACACCAGAATGAGGAAGAAAAGTAGAAACAAAAACAACTTAAGAAACTATCGTCCTGTTTCGACTCTTTCTCACATCAATAAAATTTTGTAAGAAATCATGTGACTATTACATATTTCCACAATTTAATCAATCTCAACATGGCTTCAACAAACACGACTTTACTTTCACAAATTCTTTTATTTTTTCCAATTCTTTATCATCACAACCTAAATGTGGCAATCATGCCATTAGATTTTTCTTAGGCACTTGATAGATTCGACCAAAATCTGTCGGGATAACTGGATAATTTTTGTCCAGGATTTCAAATTTTACTATCCGTCAACAGATTGTTGTACTAGGCAGTTATGATTCAAGTAAGAAAAGTTTCCTTCTGTGTTCCGCAAGGCGAATCTGTTTCCAAATTTAGCATTGTCATCGATGGCCTTTCTTCCATTCTAAAATATACAACTATTCTTCTTTTTGCTTTTGTCTTACAATTTGTGATGCCTTACTTTTTCAATTTGACTGGGAAGGTTTATATCTCTGGCTTTTAGAGATCTGTTTGTATTTAAAAATACTATTTTATGAATTTTTATGGTAGGTACTGAAACTTCTCATATCTTCACTTACTCTGATAATAATACTGCTCTCTTACGAGCGTCGGTGGTCGCAACGGTTTAGGCGTTGACACGGTGGTCATCACTGTAAGGTAAAAATTACGGGTTCGAATCCAGCGGCCCTGCATTCGAACCCGACATACTTACAAATGGTTTGTTTTGTTTTGTTTTCAAAAACATCGTCACCACGAGGGTTGATATAACCTCTGCTGTTGCGAATCCTTGTAAAAAAATACTGCTCACTTTTCTGCAACTGCTTGCTTCTGTGGAATATTTAGATCAGGGGTGCTCAAACGGTCGATCGCGAGTGCTTTTTGAGTAGATCTCGAGAAGAAAAAAATTTTTAATAAGTAGGTAGGTAACTAAACTACAAAAATGTATTACGTAATAAAATAACACTGCTTGCGGCAAAAGGTGGCTTTATCAAAGGAACGCGCGGCACTGTCACAAGGCGTATTGAAGTCATGAGTCAGGACATCGCAGATAAACTAAAACATGATATCATGGAATGTACATACTTTTCTTTACAGTTCGACGAATCCACCGATATGACAGACACTGCCCAGCTGTGTATTTTTATTCGGATGGTATTCAATGACATGTTGGCTAAGGAAGAATTTTTGACAATCATTCCTCTGAAGGGGAAGACCCGTGGCGAAGATATATATGACGTTTTCTTCAATTTTGTAAAAAACTACGAGCTACCAATATATAAATTAGTGTGCATTACAACCGATGGAGCACCAGCAATGACTGGAAACAAAAACGGTTTTGTGGCATTGTGTCGAGCTAATGAAGAATTCCCTTCATTTTTTTCATTCCATTGCATTATACATCAACAAGTTTTGTGTTCAAAAGTTTTAAACACGGAGGAAATTATGGGCATTGCAACAAAAATTGTGAATTCCATCCGTGCACGTAGCTTGCAACGGCGGCTCTTTCAGTTGCAGTTGGAAGATAGGGAGTCAGCTGAACACACTGATTTAGTTCTTCACACGGACGTCAGGTGGTTGAGTCGCGGAAAATTCCTAGAAAGGTTTCAAGAATTATTGCCCGAAATAACAGCTTTTCTAGACGAAAGAGGTGATGACACTCAGATTTTGAAAAACGAAAAATGGCTGACTGATTTGGCATTTTTGACTGACATCACAATGCACTTAAACACCGTTAACTTGGAGCTTCAAGGTAAAGGAAAAACTATTATTGAGATGATTAGCGCAGTAAACGCATTCAAAAGTAAATTGCAACTTATGATAGATCAACTGAAAAGAAAGGATCTGAAACATTTTCCGTCTTTGAAAGCAAGGATTCCTCAGTTGAATTATGATACGTATGAGGCTGAATTATCAAATATTTTGGGACAATTCGAAATGCGTTTTTATGATTGCAGTAAATTGGAAAATATAGCATCATTTATGAGTTATCCTTTTTCATGTAAAAACATTGAGGAATTAGCTACTGAAATAGCAAGTCAGTTTAATATGAACTCATGTTCTGTTGAAAATGAGTTGGTGCAGATTATATCAGATATACATCTCAAAGCTACAGCATCTGATACAAATTTCTGGTGTTTTATATCTGAAGATAAATATCCGAATGTAAGGCAAATCGCCCTTCAACTGACGGCATTTTTTGGGTCAACTTACTTGTGCGAGTCTGCATTTTCTGAAATGAAGATAATTAAGTCAAAATATCGCAATCGACTAACTGACGATCATATGTCATCATGCTTGCGATTAGCACTCAGTGATTACGTACCATCTTATGAAAAGTATGCAGAGGACATGCAGTGCCACGCTTCAACATCCAAAGCCACTCCTTAGTTAAGTTTAACACCATATGTAACTCTTTTGTTTTGTAACAACCAATAAACTCGCAATTTTGAATAACTATGAGTTTTTTCATTGATATAGTAGAGAAGAACCTAACTAAACCTAACCCAAACCTTGACTAAAATAATGTACCTATATTGTGCAGAAAGCTAATATCTATATATGCTACGGTACACCCTACCTAGGTAGGTAGGGTGTATCGTATATGTACGACAACCCTGCATCACACACACTTGCAGCCTCTCAGAGTCGATCGTAAGTAGTCTAAAAATATTGAGGTAGATCGCCAGCAGTTCAAGTTTGAGCACCCCTGATTTAGATTTAACCTGTAGTGAAAAAGAAATTGCATCCGTTTAGTTAAGGCGAGCATACTAAACCCTCATGACCTATCAGCGTTCCAGAACCGTTGGTCTTTTGCGCCTTTACAGCTGTTACATTTGTTTAGATCTTGTTCTTAATATTTCAATTTCTTCTTTCTTTCTTAGTTTTTGTTGAAATAATTCAATCTCAATTAAAACTAAGGGATAGTTACTGATAAAAAATTTATACCGTATGGGGGGCGGATTTCGACATGGTCCGAGAGTCCGACATCCGGAAATTCTCTACAAACTAAGACAGTTCTAAAAAGATAAAACCGATCTAAGCCGGCGTACCACAAGGAAAATTTTTGATCCCATCTTGTACCCCATTCTACTGATATTGAGATTCAATATTGTTGACCTGCTACTCATTCCAACACCACCCTGTCAACCTATGCGGACTACTGCAATATTATTTATACGTACGTACCCGAATCCCATACTAACAACGTAACGCCTCAATCTCATCGAAGAGTGGTGCAAACGAAGTAAGATGAAATTTCAGGACGACCCAATTCAAAATTGACCTAGACTCACCAATAAGGGATTACTGATATCCACGCAAGAGAAAAACCTTCTACTTACATAGCACACTGACGTGGAATAGCCAATCAAAACTGAATCGACAAGAACAGAACAAAGAACCAGTACAACTAAGAAGACCAAAATCAGTCCTAACAGACAAACAGGACTACGCTCTGCATAAACTACCACTTTCAACACGACACACAAGAATGACACATCTACACAGAAAACAAACACTTTGAGCTCTGAAGATGATCTCAATAAAGATCGAAACGTTGGCACAATAAAAAAGGTGTTCGTCACACCAGACCGCATCTCACGATCTCCAAATAATTATTAACTAACGGTCACTAAACACCTCACACACATACAGCTCTACAAAAACATAATTCAAACTGTTAGGAGCAAAACTATGGCTTACTACAAAGCTTTCTAACACTTCATCCATGAACACTTTTAGAACCGAATTCTGTTTTGACCGCCAAAACTCAACCATTTCTAGATGATATGTGCATACTAGACATTCGGAAGTAGAACTGTGCGGTTCCTCATCTAATATCCAACACGTTGAGTTCATTCCAATCAAAAAGAAAAATTCTACAAGCTGCCTATTACATCTGTACCTCACCTTTCACAAGGCTATCACCATACAGTTCGTTCAAGGCTTTATCCATACCCTCGACCTGACGTTCTACTCTAACCTTTCTTCTTAATTTAACCCTTCGGTTCATGCCCTTTCTATTATCTCACATCCTCTGAATATCCTATGTCGCCTTAAACTACGTTGGGCCTGAGACTTATTCGCCTAATCCCTTAATAGCAGAATGTCATCGAGGCTGGTTTACCAAGATACGACACTCCCAAGTGCATTGTTGAGTGTAGTGCCAGTACGTCACTGGTGAAAATTATATAGAAAAAAACCATAAAATTGAAGGTTTAGATGGGATTGGCTTTATCGAAATGAACCAATAATTATCAAATAAGTGATAAAAGAGAGACCATCTATCCTAATACTTGCATTGGAATGATAAGATCAATATTAATCTTATAAAATTCATTAGATTTCGTGGTCCGATTGACCAAATAACTTTATTGAATTTAATAAGTAAAATGAAGTATATCTTCAGGCAAGCTCTCCGTGGCCGTTTTATTTGTCGCCGAGAATCAAATAGATTTCAGGAGATTTCAAAAATGCAAAAAAGAGGGAAAATTCGAAAGGTGGGTTTGAGATGGGAGGTTGGTGTCCGAGTGGATCGAAGTGACGATAGCTCCAGTGGTAGAACAGCGGCGTATTTAGTCGAAGGTCGTGGGTTCGAATCCCGTTCGTGGCTCTCATCCAATACCTTACATAAGGATTGATTAATTAATCTTATATTTTTGATGATATAGTTTATATGTAAATTATGAGCGTTTATTGGCACAAAAGCTTAGTTTAAACAATATAATCCTTTGATATAATTTTTTATGAATATGTAAATGGGCTCAAGATGAAATCAATCTATATAAAATTTGTAGCTATAATGTGAAAATAAATTTTAATAAAGTCCTTTAGGCATGTTTTTGGCGTGATGGAGGGCAATTAAACAAAGAAAAGCCAAATTTATTACACTGCCATCTTGCGCCTGTACCAATTCCTTTGTTTTGACGTGTCCCTTTCTGCTACAGTGCCAA